GCTCTGGGACAAGGCCCTGGGGAGTCTCAGATCTCACCCAACAAGGGCTCAGCACCATCCAGTCCCAGCATGGATTGGGCTGTCCCCCCTGGCCACAGGGACGGAGCCCTGGCAGCGCTGCCTCCAAGGTGGCAGGGACTGCTCTGTGTCCTACGAGGAGAACGATGGGCAGGACATGTCTCCCAGCCACCACAGCTGGGATGGCACCAGACCTTTGGTGGTGGTGGCACATCCCTCCATGTCCTGCCATGGAGCAGTGGCCATAGAGGAGAGCCAAGCCCTGTTTGGGGAAGTCCCGTGGGAGCAGCAATTGCTGCCCTGGACCCAGCACTGCAGTGGCCCGTCCTTTGCCATTAACCCCTTGAGCTGAATCCAGCTCTCATTGACCTCCAGCTGGGAAGGAGCTCATTGAACCTGAGCTCCACGCCTGGGGAGCAGCCCTGGTTGCTGGTAGCAGGAGAGCAGCAGGTCGCAGCTGCCTGGGCTTGGCCAGGCTCTGCCTCCTCCTGCAGTCTCAGGGACACTGGTGTGAGCAACTTCCCATGCAAAGTTCAGGTGGATGCACTAAGCCTTGCCCCAGTGACACCCAGCACCCCAGTGACACCAGCTCTGCCCTAGCTGAGGGTGCTGGGAGAATCAGTGCAACCCTTGCTCTGGTTTAGCCTCCAACAACTCCAAATGTGGTGCAGAATGGGGTCTCTGCTCCCCATACGGATGCCCCCCACTAACCCTTACTCGGCTCTGCCCCCAGCGAAACGAGGCTGCCGCCTACTCGCGCCCATCCCACTTCAGGGACGGCTTCCACTCGGTGCTGCTGACCTTCATTGCGCTGGCCTGCGTGGCAGGCATCGCCATCGCGGCCGTCGCAGCCTTCTGCCTCAGGCGCCATGCCAAGCAGCGGGAGAAGGAGCGCCTGGCTGCCCTAGGACCTGAGGGTGCTGCTGACACCACCTTTGAGTACCAGGTAGGACCCCGCGGGACCCCGTGAGATGTGGCACTGCCACATCAGCATCACTCCGGCTGCAGGAGGCTGCCCCGGCAGCACTGCAGTGGAGGGACAGGGCTCTTGCTGGGGTCCCCCAGGAGCTGTGCCGCCAGCACATGGCTGCCAAGTCACTCTTCGGCCGCACTGAGGCACCGGCAGCACCAGCAGAGACCTCGCGGGTCAGCAGCGTCTCGTCACAGTTCAGCGATGCCCCACAGCCCAGCCCCAGCTCCCACAGCAGCACGCCCTCCTGGTGCGAGGAGCCCGTCCAGTCCAACATGGACATCTCCACCGGACACATGATCCTGGTGAGCTGGCCCGGCAGGGCAGCAGCCCC